GATTGCAAATACAAACTTAAATATCAAAGTAAGAATTGCTTAACCCAACTCTGAAGAACATCCAATGAACCCAATCTAAACATCAAACAAACACTTCGCTTATTATAAGAACTCCTATTATTAGGAAAGATGACATAGAAATAATAAATATATTATGGAATTCCAGAGTCTGATGCAATTTCCAGAATACAACAGAAACTAATGAAAACCCCAAATGTGTCAAACATACATACCGACGTAGTAGTACTAGTGGATTATAAGGAAACAGGTTCTTTTGGTGAAGGCCTTCAATAGATGCTTTAAGTTGAAAAAGGCAGTTCCTTGCACATTCAAACGGTGACATCTGAGTTACATAGTCCTCATTGTGACATCCGTACGCTTTCTTGCGTTTGGTGTCAGGTGGTAAAATATCTCCACTAACACAACTCGACACAAGCGTTATCTCTCCCATAGAGTTATGATCATCTGTTGAAAACTTTTTTCTTTTACTGCTTCGACATTTTCCACTCCATGAAAATTCGATAAATATGTTCCACGAATCACATACCTTACGCAGACACCTATGAGGATGCAGGTACAAATTTAATTGCAACATCAGACATGGATAAAGTCAACATATTTTGTTTAAGAAGGGCTAATGTTGTCCCCTTTCTCTGAAATTGAATTTTTTATTCAAATTTGGAGCAATTATCAGAGAAATGAATACACAATGTTTAATGCAAATGGAAGAACATGTGGCTACATTTTTGTTTTTTAGGAATATATTAAAAAAAGACAAGTTAATTCATAAGAGGTTTTGTGGAACTTTTTTAGGATCAAAAAGATACATCCTCTATCCCAATTTACGTGGCACACTTTCCGTTTAGTCTATCCCAAGAATGACACATTTCTATGTTTAGAAACCATTTAACTTTAAAATTCTCACTTTACCCTTAATGAGATGATTTACAAATTGCAACCACACAAATGGTTACGACTTGTTCTAGAGCACGTGTTTCAAAAGTCTTTCTTTCTTAAATTCAGTGCTTTGTCAAACACAGAGGGAGTAGTGTTTTACGAAGAGCTTACAACTCTTGTAATTCTGAATATGCTACATGGTACAGCTGGAACTTCTTACATGGAGTAAGATGGTTTGCGAATTTGGATTACACTTAAGTATTGGGAGAAAAAGATGGTTTGCAAATTTGGAACTAGTATGCTTTATTCATATAAAGGTTGAGCCTGTCAAAACACCATACTTAGTATACATATTGATACTTATAGATCTTATATCCATGTCCAAATACTATAGAAGAAAATAAAATGCAAAGTTATAACTTATACGTACCTCAAAAGATATTCAGCAGAACTAGCCCCTGTATCTTTTGAGATAAGATAATCAAGAAGAACTTGATGATCATAGTGTATCTGTGAGGACGGTAACATAGCAAAACTACTCAGCATGGGTAATTATTTAGTATTTTGATCTTGACATCAGAGGGAAAGAAAACAAAGAAATGCACAAGGGAATGTTTTGTACTTACTCCAGCCAAGAATAGGTGAAAGAAATGTATTGGGTGAAAAAGGTGTGAGATCAGAGAAAAGTCTCTCACTTCATCATCTGATAAAGCCACTTCATTAGTAAACCTACATACAACATGATGCACTAAAGCAACCGCCATATACAACTTCACATCATCTCTAAAATTAGCAAATGTACATTCAACTCACTTTTCAGAGTAAAATGGCAAGCATAACATTTGCAAGAGCATTTCAAATAGAATATCGTCCTACAATTTAACAGTAGTAAAAGAAAGTCAGAAAAGTGAAGACAGCTGGACCAGTAAACATATAGTAAGATATCCTCGGGTACTTTAACATACAAGGACAGGAATCAAATCAACCAAATACGAAGTTTTAGCAGAGCTCTATGTCATGGACACCATGCCATAGTAGGAGGTATACTAAAACCTAGAAGCAAGCCAGAAACCATTTTGTAAGAAATAGGCAATTCTCAATCTTCTGTTTTGTTGTTGAAAAATAATAACAATTTAATAGATAAAGCTTGGAAGCCAAATATAGGCAATTCTTAATCATTGGAAGTCCAAAGAGATGCAGAGTACTAAACCAACTGCATATACAAAGTATTGTCCAGCTAATCTAATAACGACAGTTCTAAAACTTATCAAACCTTGAAAATCAGATATAATCATGAATTTATAAAAGTCAATTCAAACTTTTTATATAGAGATCCTGAAACAAATGATCAAGTAAAAACAAAACATGTCATTGCGAGCAAGAAGACAAACCTCTTGCATATATAGCTGCAAGAAGGATGAGACAAAGTCCATGCATTTCTCGGAGTACATGTCATGGTCAATAAAACAATCGCCAGGGAGAAGCTCTCTGAGCCACTCATGGAGCTCTAGCAAAGCTTTCCTTCGACTGCAACACTTGGGATTCATGTCAAAGCTTGAGCAAGACTTAAGATTTTTACATGCATAATGTTGATCAGTCATTTCTTTCATGCTCAGCAAACTAGAGGAACATTTGAGGAAAAGGAAAATAGACAGCCGCTGTAAATGCTTTGATGAAATCCATTTTTTCCCCATATCAAATGTCATTACCCCAAATGGCGAACCTTCGAGATATTTATCTAGAACAAACTCCTGCTCCTCCATAGGTTGGGATAATACATCTTGAAAGTATGTGTGGATAAGATCCAACCACGAAATTACAATTGAGTGCTCCCAATGGATTTGGTTACTAAGTCGAATCATGAGTATCTGTAAAATGGACAGTTAGTGCAACCACAAACTCAACTCAGTTAATGATCACATTGGTGCATGATATTTCAAATAAAATTTTAAATATACCTATCCCACCACTGTAAATAACATAAGGAGCATAAATGGAAGAAATGATTATTAGACCAAAAGCAAAGAACAAGAACCCCTCATCATATCCACCTAATGGGCTAATTGGAACATTTTAGACTGAATGCAACATCAAAGAAGGGTAAATCCCTCTTAATATTAAATAAAGTGCAAGTGGATGTGAGATTTAGAGAACCCCCTGATTTGCCTCAAAAGACAAATTATTTATTATTAGAAGGAAATGGACTTGAATTGAACGGAATGGTCACAGATACTAATGAATGAGAAAGAGTTGAGAAGAAATTCATACCAACATTTTATGTTTAAGATATTGACAGATCGCAACATTATCAGAGTGTTGTCCATTACTAAGGCATGATGACAGTAGTCTAGGAAGCAGGTTTTTTATTTCAAAAATAAATGGATGCTCTGCTGAAGCGATGACAGCAGCATCTGTCCAACCACTTTTAACCAATGAACAGAGTAACCGAAGAAGATATCCCTGAAATATTAGTATTGACTTCGGTTTTTCTTCTTGCATTTGAAGCAAGCGGTCTGAATTGGAGTCCCCTTGAACATGGTAAACCTCTGACAACAAATTCCACGGCATATTTGAGATAAAATAAATGGTAGCCTCCAAGAAAATGTTGAAAAACTGATCAATAAGATCCCGATTCAACTGTTTCAGTACATTATGTAGAACTCTCATGATAACAGCTGCCGTTGACCAACTTGCACTTTTCAGGCTGAGCTTCAATAAAGAAGAAGGTGAAGGATCCCCACTCAAGTTTTTGACCTCCATCGTATGTCCCATAGAAGAAAGACCATTAAAAATTGGAACTTCCACACAAAGATACAGTAAATTGATATATTCACCCCAACAGCTTTCCTGCAATATAGAACTTGTAAAGAAACACAAAATATCAAAACAAAGAACTGCCTATGTAGTGATTTCGGAAGCACTGTCTTATCACGTACAGATTCAACCAAAAAATCAGAAACAGACACCAGGATATTGCCAATTAGGTGATTCATATATGGATTCTCCATCGCAACCACGACCATCTGCAGATAGGAAATCATAAGACAGTTGTAAGGTTGAATTAGAAGTAATTTCAAACAAAACAACAAATGCACCATTGAAAGAGGGGGGAACTGAACTTTGGAACTGATCAAAATGAGATGCCTGAAAAATTGAAACCCATGTATCATATATCATAATGGGGTATTTGAATTGAAAAACCTACCAAGACCTCAATAACATTAGTTAAACAATGATGATTAGCAGCATGTGACTCAGGGATTATTGGACCTCCACCAACAGCGTTTCCCTCCATCTCCTGCTTATAAATTCACACAAACAAACAATGTACCCTAAGATAATTCCAAGCAAAATCATATTTCCACAACGAAGAGATACACAGAGGAAGATTCTTACAAAGCTGTCATCGGACTCATATTCCTTCATCCACAGCTTAATTTCTGTATAAACCTAAAAGTAGGGACTTTTCAATCAATGAAGTCTGCCTCAATTCAAAACAAGAATCCCAGAATTGGTAAAAAAGGAACAACCTGTGAGAGAGAAATTAAAAGTTCTTTCTCCGTTTCTTTGGTTACCGAAGCAGACCCAGTTTCCTGCAGAGGAGTAGAGTTCCATTTTCTGTAAAATGAGAAGAAGAAGAAAAAATAGACAGGAAAGTAAGAAACAGTTGCGGCGAAAGGGTTGAGTGAGCTTACAGTATAAGGACGGAGGTAACAGTCAATTAGAGAACAGAGACGTGAGTGTTCCTTCGCCATAATTTCCAAGTTCAGAATGAACTCGCTTCTCTTTTCTTTTGTGGTATGTATATATGTACTTCTTAATTAATTAATTAAAAAATTAAAAGTATTTATTTTTAAAATAAAAAAAACATTATGTGCTTATCTAAAATATTCAAAAACACTTCTCAACTAAACTAATTAAACATAATTTTTTTTATATTTAATAAAACTGTTTATCAAAATAAGTCTTTTTTTAGCTTCTTGGCCAAAAAAAGCTCTAAAACATTTTTAAAATTTTGATTAAACACTTATTATTGCTCCAAAATATATTGACTGAACACTATGTTTCAATAGTTGGTAATCCATGACTTTAATGGAGTGACGAGAGCTACCAACTTATGCCACCATTGAATGAGGTCTCTTCCATAGCAGCACTTCTCCTCAATAAGTGCAACTCCATAACCTTAATCAGCAAAGCACGCCAGCTCCATTCCCTCATCCTCACTTCCATACCCGCCACCTCCAGATCTCCTTATGTATTCAACAACATTCTCTCCATGTACGCCCGATGTGGGTCTATCCAAGACTCACATATCCTGTTCGACAAAATGCCTGAGAGAAATATCGTCTCTTTTAACGCCCTCATTTCCGCCTATTCTCGATACCACCACCTTGCCCATTGGGCTTTCCATTTGTTTGCTCAATTGCAAAGTGAGAGCATAAGACCAAATGGGTTAACTTTTACTAGTCTTTTAAATGCGTGTTCGAGCATCAAGAATCAGGTATTAGGCTCTATGCTTCACTCCCAGTGTATAAAGTTTGGATTTTTATACGATGTGTGCGTTCAAACCTCTGTTCTTGGGATGTACTTAAATTGTGGAGTCTTGGATTGTGCAGAGAAAGTGTTTTGCTACATGCATGATAAAGATTCTGTGGCTTGGAATACTCTATTCTTTGGGTATTTGGAAAATGGTAAGACCGTGGAAGGCCTTCAGCTGTTTGGCACCATGTTGAGGACCGGAGTTGTTCCTACGAATTTCACTTATACGACATTGTTGAGTGCTTGTAGCAGGTTAAGAGACCATCTTTCTGGGAAATTGACTCACTCTAAAGTGATTGTTTCAGGGACTGTACCTGATTTGCCCTTGTATAATGCCCTGCTCGACATGTATTCTAGTTGTGGTGATAGTGAAACAGCTTTGAAAATCTTCAGAAAAATTAAGAAGCCAGATTTGGTTTCTTGGAATTCAATGATATCGGGGTGCGCAACAAATGGAGATGGAGAGATGGCAATGAGGATGTTCATCCAATTTGGACAATCTTCTCGCTTCACCCCTGATGAATATACATTTGCAGCTACAATTTCTGCTGCAGGAACATTGCCAGCAGCTGAGTATGGGATACCACTTCATGGCCAAGTTGAGAAGGTGGGGCTCGGTGCAAGTGTATTTGTTGCAAGCACACTTATATCAATGTACTTTTGCAATGGGGAAGTTGAGTCTGCTCAAAAGGTTTTCATTAATGTCCTTGATAAGGATGTTGTCCTTTGGACTGAGATGATTGCTGGACATTGTAGGATTGGTAATGCTGAGAGCTCTATTAGATTGTTCCATGAGATGTTACAGGAAGGCCACAAGGCTGATGAATTTATTCTTACCAGTGCCTTAAGTGTGTGTGCTGAAGTGGCAACTGTGAGGCAGGGTGAGATGATTCATTCCCTGGCTGCCAAAACAGGCTATAGTGCTGAGATGACCGTTTGCGGGAGTCTGGTTGATATGTATGCTAAAATTGGAAACCTTGCAGCTGCAGAGCTTATGTTTTCCAGCGTCACCATGCCTAATCTAATATGCTGGAACTCAATGCTTGGTGCATATGGTTACCATGGGAAGTCAGAGGAGGCATTCACGCTGTTCAATGATATTTTACAACATGGCCTAAAACCAGATCATGTAACATTTATCTCTCTGCTTGCAGCATGTAGCCACTGTGGTTTGGTCAACCATGGTTTATACTTCTGGAATTACATGAAAGAAACTGGTTTAGAACCAAGCCTGAAGCATTATTCTTGCATGATCACGTTGTTGAGTCGAGCTGGAATGCTGGAGGAGGCTGAGAATGTTATAATGGAATCACCCTTGGGTGTTGAATGTCTTCAACTATGGAGAATTTTACTGAGCTCCTGTGTAAGTAAAGGAAACCGGATAATAGGAATACGTGTTGCTAAACAGGTTTTGGGCATGGATGCAGAAGACAGTGCAACAAATGTACTGCTTTCCAATTTATTTGCTTCAACTGGTAGATGGGCTAGTGTTTCAGAGATTAGGAGAAAAATAAGGGGACTTATGTTGGAAAAAGATCCTGGTTTAAGCTGGTTAGAAGTTATGAACAATACTCATGTGTTCTCTTCTAGTGATCATTCACATCCACAGTATGGTGAAATAAGAACTGAGCTGCATAGATTACTAGGAAACTTAACACAGTCAGAAGCAAATCAATTTATACTGGATGCTGAGGCTGTGGAAGTAGGATCTAGCCTCCATTAGTTTGAATCAGAATGACTGCCCACTGAAATCTTTGATAGGCCATGGAGCTCAAGATTCAGCCAATCTCTTCTCCAAAATGATTCCTAGAATATATGTTTGTTATATTGTGTTCTAAACTCAATCATTGAAATGAAGCCTAAAATAAACTAGTGGTATCACACAAAATTTCACCCTCTTTTTTATAGCCTTTAGGCGTCAACCATTATTTTCGACATATACATTTACGACAGAAAACTAATTTTACCATGCGGCAGTTATCAGTCAACAAGATATAACTGCTGCCATATTTCTTCTCCGTGTATCCTGAAATTATTTTCTTATTTGAAAAGGGAAAAAAATAAAAAAGCAGAGGGTTTATAATTGGGGGGGATTGCGTCTACAACAAATGAGATCTCGACTAAGTGTTTATACAAATATCCAAAGCATCACAAATATAACCAGTTTCATTTCTACAAAGGGCAACTGAAATCATCTAGAAGAGACACGAGTACAAAATCAAGCTTGGTACACTAGATCAGGAGAATTAATTGAAAAATAGTATCAAATAACATTGCCGCGACATCCCTATGAACTAACATCTCTGCAGAAATAGCGGTCCACAATAATGAAATTGGAGGTAGATAAACTGCATTATCTCATGATTTGTCAATGCTTGAGCTTGCCAAGCTACTGTGACAGGTAACCAGTAGCATAGGGATTTCCATCCATTCAGAATCTTAGATGTATGAATTACCAAACACATTATCTAGCGTCTGCCTGTACGACTTTTTGCTCTAGTCTTCTGCCAAAAAGAATGATACACAATAAAGATAGGCATCAGAATTAGGAGCATTTTTAGAACAAAGTCATAAGCACCTACCTTTGTTAAGATTTATTAAATAATACCATAATGAAGTAGGTACAAATTGATAAACAAAAACATACATCTTTCTTTTCATGAAATATTATGAAAGATACAACCTTCTATTAGGAATATAAAATCTATCAATGCCAAAGTGTTGCTGCAACATATACCAGACAAATGATGAAAGAATTTGAACCAGAGGTTTGTAAAAACAGTTTCAGCAACCATGAGGCAGTACCAAATATGTCTATGCCCATTATGACTGCATCACTACTCTTAGTTGTGATGTCCTTGTCAAATTAAAAAATTGTTTATAGAGATTCAAACAATTTGCTGTGTATGTTTTTCTTTCTTTTATAAGAAATCAACTCGCTAGTTGGTGAACCATGGTGATTCTTAAAAAAAAAAATCACATAGAAAGCTCAAAGCAACAAGACTTTTGTAAAAGCATCCTAACATTCAACAAAGTATTTTTTCAGGATTGGATTCACACAGAACTGGTAATAAACAAGCTAAGCATTACAAAAACATTGAATAGAACTGCATATAAATTCACCAACATAGCCAAATAAAACTATCCCTCTACTCCACTTAGATTTCCATTTTCCTCATGCCATGCTTGAGGATGGGTGAGAAGTGTTTTTCTTTTAGTCAAGGCATAAACAAGAAAGATCAATATAGGAGAACATGTATACTCACAGATTGAGTCCCAAAACTTGCCCCTGATGCTAGAGCTGCCCCTTCAAGGACATAAGAACAACAATTAGGCACAAATCAGCAAACAAATTTAACTGTTACCAATTCAAAAAATTAGCAAACAAAATTTGAAGGATGCAGGTTCTGGGGATAGAAGAAAAACAGGATGAAAAAGAAGAATCCCTTCCATTCGAAAATACTACAGTATCAAGAATATCTCATTATTGAAAATATTCTAAAGATATCTGAAAATTCTAATATCAGATGAACTAAGTAACAAATTGTAGGTTATCATAAAAGAAAGGAGCACACTGGCAAAATGAAGGGTAGAAAAAAAAAAGTTGGATCATAAAACAATTTTTTTTGAAAATATAGCATGTGATTAAATAAATCACCAAAAGCACAAGCATTTAGAGGAAATTTCCCTAAAAGGAAAAACTTAACTACTCAAAGTAACTTCCTCAGAAAAAACTAAATTTCAAAGCAACTTTTCCCCACCAACAACTTTTGGAAACATTAGCCACAAAAAAAAGTTTAAAACATAGCAGTTAACTAAGAAATTCCTTGAGACTCTTTTGTACAGTAGGCCACCTCAACAAAGGTGAATCATCAAAGGGCATTGACTTATTGGTTAAAGGCAAAAGAAATCTGAAATAATAACATGACTGTACACTTAAGCCAGGAGGAGGTGAGAGAGGTTGACAGTGATAAGTTTGAGAAGTGGTAGAGCTAGACTGAGGAAGAATTGGAGAGGTGATTACATAGGACATGACACATCTCACTCACCGAGGACATGACTTAGATAGAAAGCATGGAGATCAAGAATTAAGGTAGATGGTTAGTAAGTCGTCGAGCAATTTTTCTCTCTTTCCATTGGTAGAGCAGGGTCCTAATCTAGAGCAATTATCTGCTCTATTAACAGTATTGTTAGTATTATGCTAGTATTAGCTTATTCTTCAATTCTATTACTACTAATGTTTCCTTTACACTGGTTCTCTGTACTATTTTTTACTGATCGTACTTTTCTTTTCTTCTCTTTTTTAAATTGGTAATTGTTTCTATTTCTGTAAATCAGTACATAGGTTCAACTGAAAACCATATTTACATAAGCAAATCTAAAAGTATTGTCCTATCCCTATAATAAGTCTTAAGACATCAATGACAGAGACATCATTATTAGGGCAAATCTAATTACACCAAAAACAGAGAGTCAAAATACAATTCAGTTTGACTTGTTGCATTCTACTCTCGCCTCTCCCTATTCTCAAAATCTCTAAGGTTCCGCTCTTTCCATATTGTCCACCGCTACTCTCCCTGTCAGTACTTCTCTTTATTCAGTATTTTCATCATAAACTTTTTATTCGTGCAATTATTTTTCAAACCTGTTCTGAAACATGAGTTTTCTTGAATCGTGGGGGTCCATCAGAAACAACCACTCTACCCAACAAAAGTAGGGGTAAAGTCTGTGTACACCCCACCCTACTCTCCCAGACCCACTTGTGGGATTACACGGGTATGTTGTTGCTGAATTTGACTTGTGTATTATGTGAGTCGTAGTTGAAGAACATATGAAGTAACAGTTCAAAAGCCAGTTTAATAAAGCAAACATTGCATCAAAGTTAAATATTTCAATAATAGATGGATTTGAATTCTTAAAAATTGTGAACGTTGTATAAAATAACCTTAATAATGGAGTGGTCTCATGCATTTGGAAACGTCCCAAAAGAAAATAGTGTTGCATAAATTAAAACCAAGGGAGTATATAATTGATTTAATAAACAAAAGATCAAGTTATAGATGCATGTTACATCAAATATCATTATGGAGACTATAATACAAAACTATGGAGGGGTAATAATCAAAAGATATTCAGTTTTTCTGATAAAGAGATTATATAAAAAATTTACTTTTGTAAAAGCTAATCTAACAGATGGTCAAATATGTCATTATTGAGGTTGGCGGAAACATACCTGAAGCAAAAGGTGTTGCAAAAGATGAAACTCCAGAAGCAGGGGTAGAACCAAATAATGGAGTACTAAAGGCTGGAGTTGAAGTAGACAAGGACCCAAAGAGTGAACTTTGGGGGGAAGCACCAGATGTTCCGAACAAAGAGGAGACTGGAGCTGACATTGTTGGAGTGGTGAACAGGGAAGAAGATGAAGCAGCAACGGATGGGGTAGCAAAGAGTGAGGATCCACTTCCCGTTGAGGCAAAAGAAATTGCAGATGACGTTTGTGGTGTACCGGATACCCCAGGTGCTGCTGAGCTGGAAATTAATCCCGCCACTTGAGTTGATGGTTGTGAAATTGTGGGCAAATGCAATGTTGGATGTACCCTTTTCGCAGCTGCCTCCTGTTTAGCTGTTTCCCGCCGATCTGCCTCAAGAAAAGGATCGCTTCCATCCCCTCGACGGCGCTGATCAGCCAGGTATGCTGTTTTCATTGATTCAATGTACTGATGAATGCTCTCTACCTGATTTACCAAAAGTACAAAAATATTTTCCCTTAAAATCACAGCAACTAAAAATAAAGGCGTATGCTAGAAATTATGAAAACAAGGTACACAAACATTTCACATGCAACTCTACTAGAATTCTAGAGCAAATGGTGAATGCATGCAGCGTTAGAATTTTTCGCTGCCTCAAAAGTATATCAGAAATCAACTAATACGCTGATGCTCTCTGATACTAAATATAAGTGGCACAAAACTAATTAATGAGGAACATCAACAGCGTCAGAAGCTACAAGTATATATATAATGTATATTTGTTTGGTCAAAATAAACGTTACAAAGAAGCCAAAGTACTCCTAGTCATTTTTACTCTTTTACTCCCTTCTGACTAAGCATGATACTTTCATCAAATCTTAAGAAGCCCTCACCATTACAAAAAGTTCCACTTCCCATTACCTTTGTGGCAACATGAAAACAAAGCCAGTGCCAGCTCTTTAAGTGTGTGTATATATATATATATATATATATATATAATGCACATTTGTCTGGTCATAATAAAAGTAACAAGAAGGCAAAGTACTCCTAGTCATTTTTACTCTTTTACTCCCTTCTGACTTAGCACGATACTTCCATCAAATCTTAAGAAGCCCTCATCATTATAAAAAGTTAAAATCCCCATTACCTTTGCGGCAACATGAACAAAAAAGCCATGCACATTTGACATGACTTTTGGAAGAGACTGCAACAAAGATGAACTGGAGTTCATAGAATTCCTGTCAGAATCTAAGGCCATCAACTGCTCCAATTCTTCAACCCATTGTCGGCATTCTACAAGATATTTCTCAAATCTTGCTACAGTTTGCTGTAAAAAGGGAGAGGGCTTTTTTGGTATCCCACTGTAAAAATCAAAAATTGCCGCATTGGGGGTAGACTGAGCTGAACCAGATGCTGTTGGAGCTACAGTTGCACCTGATGCCTGTGATGGAGCAGTAACGCTTGCAGCAGCAGGTGCACTTTGATGATGAAACCTTGGGCGTAACATCATAAAAGAGCGCACCGCAACCTCTGTATTGCGCAGCATATCTTTAACAACAATCATTAGCTCTTGCAAGATAGCCTTTTGTCTTTCCATTGATGTACTGATTCCACCAAGTTCCTGAAAAAGTAACTTAACATTAGCACATGCAACAAAGTAAAACATGGAGGTTAGAAACATTAATTAGAAAGGAAAGCAGGAGAACTTATTCAGACTCCAAAATGTTACTATCGGTGGCAAATACTGTCCTCTATGGCTCTATCAGAAAAAGAAATGCAGGAATCTTCACTCTGAACAACAAGAATATGACGAACATTGTTAAATGATATGAAAATCCAACTAATGCAAACAACAGCTCTAGAAATTACCTCTAGTCTGTGCTAAGCACAAATAGACACAAGGAATGTAACTATACATAGAATGCATGCTAGAAGAATAAATCAGCTTTCCCAAAAATACTGACATTGGTAGAAAGACCCTGATTTTTGTACACTTCTTATATTATTTTCTCACAAAAAAACACTTCTACAAACCAGAATGTGACTATTTTAATGTTTGATAACAACTCTAACTCTGTGCGTGGACGACATTAGCATGTTCATTCTTGTGAATTTGAAAGTGACTATAAAACTAGTACAGAAGGAAATCAAGTAAATCCAGCAGATGATTCAAGATGAAAAACAACCTTACTTTTGGGTAATTGATCCGAGAATTTTACTGAAGATTTACATTCTGGAGGTGTAATAGTGATTAAAATACAAAGGAATCATAAGATACAACCTGAATGCTGCGGCTTGCATCCAACTCAAAACCATCATTTGACACTGATGAATCATAAAGTCGGCTACACTGGTCAAGCCTTTGGCTTTCATCCCTGTATTCCAGTATCCTCTCCCTACATCCACAAGCACAGATATAACAATTAAGAAACTTCTCTAACAAAAATAGAAAACAAGAATAGGAAACTAAACAACTTCAATCATGTTTACTATATGAAATTAACCTACTCAATTTGCAACAGAAGCTTCTGCGAGTCCGGGTGGAGGTCTGTCCATTTGGTACTGTAGGTGGCAGGAGTCTTATCGTTGGTGAAAAGGTACAATTGTTGCTGCTGTGATGACTGATGTTGCTGCAGCAGTTGTTGTTGTTGCTGCTGCAATTGCAATTGTTGTTGTTGCTGAAGTTGTTGTTGTTGTTGTTGCTGTTGCTGCTGAAATTGAAGTTGTTGTTGCTGTTGCGAAAAGGGAGTGATCTGAGAGAATGGCGACGGCTGTTGCTGGCCGGGAGTTTGGAATGGCGATGCTTGCTGCTGCCCTGGAGTTTGGAATGGAGATGATTGCTGCTGCCCGGGAGTTTGGAATGGAGACGCTTGTTGCTGTCCCGGAGTTTGGAATAGGGACGGCTGTTGTGCCTGTGGAGTGAAAGTGAACGCCATTGGCTATTGCAATGCTTCGCTCATCGGAAATTTCCACAACAATTGAATTAGGGAAAAAGCCGAACAAAGCCCGAAGAATTGTAGAAATGGCTACTCAAACAGCTATTCTTCGAAAACCCTAGAATATGAATTGGGGGATAGTGAAAAAGGCGCCATCCTCTCTTCCTTGTGAATAAAAGAAGAAGACCTATATTTCCGTCTCTGTTCAAATTTCAGCCCGCTACGAGGCCCACCTGACTTCGCTCGACATTTTCCTCCAGATTTTTCTCATTAAACTAAATAGTTTATGGATTTTCTTTTAAGTGGAACAAAACATAGTTGTAAATTGTTTTTACCTAAAGAATAAAAATAGTAACATACTGAAAATTCAATTTACATATATTAATTATTATTATGTAGGAACTCACTTGTACAACTACATCATGAGTTTGGTGACTATCTTGCACAGTTACACGTTAGAATTTAGATTGTTCATCTTGTTTGCCATATGACATTTTATTTTAAGTATATTTGTAACTTATATAACTTCTTGTTCCATAAAGTAATAGCTTGATGATTTATAATTTCACAATGTACATAAATGACGATGCATGTGTCATGGGTTCGGACGAATCCAGTAGCTTTTTTGTAAACCATATATTTATACTAGAAAATTAATAAAATATATATGTATATTAATTTTTGAACCACTAAAAAAATTGATTGACTGTTATTAACGAAATTTAGAACCCAAACTCTTAATCCTGACTTCGCCTCTGTATGCATGCTTATATAGTAATCGTTATTTAAATTTGTATTTGTATTTCTAATAATTTTGTACCTTTCAATATTTGATGTAATCTAATTTTAAATAGCATGGAACTTAAGTGGTGTAGTTGCGTGTTAACTATGTCAATAGGTAAAACACTTTGTCTTGTTACCTCTATTGCTTAAAACACTTGTTATTCAAATGGATGCGGCTAAGTTTGGTAGGACAAAAACCGTGATCCCAAGTCATCATAAACTTATTTGGCCAAAGATTGTTGGTTAAATTGTAACTAATTATAATGAGTCATATCTCAATATATGCATCTTGAAACTAACTTTTTATTTGTTATTTTTATGATTTATCATATCACCAAACTAAAATAAATTATATTTTCTCATGGAGATAAAATAAAATTACTTTAAGAGTAAAGATTGAAATATTTCAAGAGATGCACCAAGGCAAAATCGTTGTAGTTACACACATGTCTCATGTCAACCAGCGACTGCATACGTTACACCTTCGAAAAAAATGATATAAATAGTCTCTTAACTATAGTAGTAGGTCTAAAATGATCCATTAACTATGCATTTAACGGATTTAGTTCTTTAACTATTCAAAAACTTATCAGCTTTGGTCTCTTAAGTATACACTTATTGGTTTTAGTTCCTTAACTATAAACTTACCGATTTTAGTCCTTTAAGTATTCAAAAGCTTATCTTGTTTGGTCTTTGTCCATTTTTTAAATACAAATAACTTAAGTTTATATTGAAGGAATCCATGCCTCGAGAAATTAAATCATTTAGCAACTTTTTCTGTTGTTTTTCTTTCTCCGCTACTTTTTCTTCAAATTAACCTTATGCGAAGAACCTTAACCTCAACCTCAACGATTTAAAATAAATTTCACGAGGAAAAAAAAAAAAGTCATCATTTTATTCAACAGAGGATAAAATGAAGCATATTATTGCTACTAATGACTTGAATATGCTAAACATTATTATATAATGAAAAAAATGATTACTCGTTAAATCCAAAGTTTGTACTCCAACGACTTCATTGAACGAAATTTGTTTAATTTTTTAGAAATTGAAATTTATAAAATGGTAGACTTGTAATTTTATTTTTTAAATAGATCAATTTTATTATTCTATTCATTTTATTTTACGTAAAAAAAATTGAGTAAATTAAATAAAATCCACACTGATTAGCATATTCAAGTGCGGATTCAAGTCATTAACAATAATTATATGCTTAATTTTATTCTCCATTGAATAAAATGTTGAATAAAATTAGGACTTATATCATCTTTCCTCGTTAATTTTATTTTGAATCGTTGACGTTATTGTTCATTTCATAAGAGTAGTTTGAAGAAAGAAGGTCGAGGACAGAGAAACAATTGAAAAAATGCATTAAAGATTTAATTTCACGAAGATTTCGATTAAGATAAACCTAAGCTATTTGTATTTAAAAAATGGACAAAGACCAAACCTGATAAGTTTTTAAATACTTAAAGGACTAAAATTGGTAAGTTTATAGTTAAATGACTAAAATCGGTAAGTGTATAATTAAGGGACTAAAACTGATAAATTTTTGAATAGTTAAAGAACTAAATCCGTTAAGTATATAGTTAAGAGATCATTTTAGACCTACTCCTCCTATAGTTATGGGACTATTTATGTCATTTTCTCTCATGCCTTCTATTTTATGGTTGCAGCTCTTTTTCTGATCATGCGTGAATACAGAATGCTAAGTGCACCCTCTCTTCCATTCCCGAGTTCTAGAAGGTGGATTTAAGTTGTACAGACTAATTTCATGAAGCTGCATGCCGGTTTCAAGATTACTAGTAGTAGTAGTCATATCTATTCCATTTTCTTCAATATGCCTGCATATTCAAATAACAAAAAAGTAGAAAACAAGAAGAGGCAGAGAGGTAAACATGGGACATTTTTGTAGCAACAAACAAAATACAACCATTTCATAGTCTTTCTCCATCAAATTACAGCTGATGATCGAAGGAACTGCAGTCCTAAATTCTAAGACCAGCAGTACTCCAGATGCCTAGAAGGTGCAAAGGAAAACCAAAAATATACAAAAAGTTTTGATTTTTTTTCTGGGATTTGGCATTTTCTTTCATATAGCTAAAGATCATATAAAATCTAAAAAAAGAAAAAGAAAAAAAGACACAAGTACCCCTAAAAGTTACAAAATCCAATTCGTAATTCCCCTAAAAGCAATCATTTCATACCATTTCCATGCGTAGAAATAGCAAGATCTGGGAAATTAAAAATTTCTCCTCCAGCTCCAACGAAGCCTCCCTCTCCACCACTAGCAAGCTGCCACGTGCTTCCAAAAATACTAGCTCCAGCACCATTATTGTTATTATCAACACTGTTATGTGATACTCCAGGAAATGGCCAAATGGGCCTACCAAGACCAAAGCCCATATCTTCAATTCCAGACCCAACTCCAAGCCCAAATCCACCAAGTGCTAAAAGCCCACCAGGCCCTTGAGCATTGCTCAACAACGAAGTGAAACTCCCACACATGTTCACACTCGGCTTCACGTCAAACGGTAGTGAACCGCCATGATCGGCAGTTAGAGGAACCAAAAAAGGGGAAACGTGTGACGGGTTAGGCGCGTGATGGTAGTCGCGAGGAGAGAGCGTGGAGGACAAGCAGCTACTGTTAATGGAGTTAGTAGTGATTGTACGGGACCGTTTTGCATTTTTACGACTTCCACCACCAATAGGGATGTCACGAAGAGTGCCGCCGTGCGTCCAATAACGGCGGCACGATTTGCAGAAATGACGTGGCTGAGAGAAATTGTAGTTGTTATAGTAACAGAATTTTGTGTTGGTGGAATCACAACGTGGGCAAGGAAGATGCTCCGGCTCCGGAGCCGGTGCACCTCCTTGCTGTTGTTTGGTTGCTCTTCGGTCACTCACATCAGAAGGCATTTTTTTGTTGTTGTTGTAGCTCTGTTTTGTTTTTAGAACTGAGAAGAACAAGGACAGAATTTTGTAGTAATATTTAATGAAGTTAAAAGAGAAATGTTGTGGGGTTTATGGAAGCATGTGGTGGGGTTTATATGGTAGAGAGATCTCAGCTCAAGAGAGAGAGAAATAAAGAAAGAATCTGTGTTGTTCTCAGTGGAACAGGGTCCTGAAGAATTCTGAGGGTTTTGTGCTAAAGAACAGAGAGCAGCTTTAGCAGGGTCTATTTTTTTTTTTGTTCTATATGTGCTAGCTATGTATAATATTCAGACGGCTCGAAAACGGCTTTTGTTATGGGGTTGGCTCATAAATGGTGACTTTTGCTGTCCAATTCCAATAAATGTACATACACAACCATACAAGTTGAACCAAATGTACAACAACAACCGTCGTAGTACAGTGGATGTGATTGTTTTTCTTATGATCAGAGGTCTTGGAGTCAAGTCTTATGTAAAAAAAAAATCTTTTGATAGGGAGCACTTTCCTTGAATGACCTCTATGTGGCACGAATACAAATATAGAAAGACTCCAATACAGATATTGAATATCGAGTGAAAAAAACATGTACAACAGCAACTGTCGGATTACTGGATGATTCAACTGGTTAATTAAGCACGATTTAATTATATATAACATGATTGGTCTGATTCATGATGGCCTATGTGTGGAGTTGTACATTTACTTTGTTGTCTAATTATAATTAAATTACGCTGACATTACAACTCACGAGGTAATAGATACGGCTATGATATTATACTACTCCATTATGTGTAAGTCTAATCTTCCTTGAAGTACTATAACTAGCGGTGAGGCTCCTTGTAGTAGGTTGTATAACTAGCAACATTATTTTAGTGTTATGCCTCAATTACTTGTATACACATATTTTTTTATTTTAGTAATGATAAAAATAAAATGAACGTGTCTAATTTAAATAACATATTCATTAATACAGACCAATCCATTATTGAGAAGGATCGGCGCTGATAATAGTTTATTCCTCACGTCCACATAGTTACATGACAAATGATATAAATATGTTGCAAGTGCGGAATTACTATTATGTTGCATGATTATTGTTTATCTTTTTTTTCACATAATCATATCGTAGTCAATTATCTACTTTATTATTAGTGTGGGATCAATTTGTATTATTATTGTAGGTAAAAACTTTGGTAGTGCAAGAACTGACAAGTGACAGCATTTACTATTTTTATTTTCTTTTCACTTATAATTCAGACAAAGAAGAGTTGCTATATTTGCAGTCTACTTTTATTATTATTACTCATCATCAGTATAACAAGGTTACAAGATTTGGATGTTCTTAAATAGTATAGTAGTGATACGTTAAAACTTAGTAAAAATGAGTAAAAAAGTTGAATGAAGTTAATAAGAAAAGATGAGTAAATGAAGCAATAATGTAAATGGGAGAAAAGTGCAAAATTTTGAAAGAGATGAGAGGGAGGGTTGAGTTGTGAGCGTGTAGAAAGAGGAAAAAGATTTTAAGGAGAAAAGGTGGACTGATAGATGCATTCATTTGGTACCGACAATATTATGAATGTCGGATTAGCGTGGGTACTCAATTATTGGACTGTTTCCAACCTCCCCCCTCAACTCTCAAACCAACCTTTAAGCTCAAGTACTACCTCATCTCAATTTATTCATTACAAAAAATACAACTTCTTCTCTCTCTTTTTTCACCCATACTTGGATAATTTGTCTTACATTTAGATTTGAATAAAGTATTTTCTAACAAAAATGACTTTTTACCTAGAGAGATTAGAGTTTAAAACTAAGGACTTGTTTGGATGGACTTGTTAAAGTACTCCCTCCGTTTCACAAAGAATGACCGAGTTTGACTTGACATGAAATTTAAGAAAATAAAGAAGATTTTTTAATCTTGTGGTTCTAAATTAAAGTTATGCCAAATGTATAAAATTGTCCCTTAATCTTGTGGCCTTAAACATGTCACGTGTAAAACTGAAATTAAAATGTTACTAAAAAAAGAAAGAGATCATTCCTTTTGAAACTGACTAAAAATGAAAGGAGTTCATTATTTTTGAAACGGAGGGAGTAACTTATAAGTCAAAAGTTAAAAATCATAAGTATTTCCTCTGTCCAATAATAGTTGTCCACTATTGAATTGACAGTACAATCCTTAAAAAATAATAAATAATAGAGGTAATATTACTATTTTATTTTTTGACTTTATTGAATTTAATGTTTTGAAAAATGAGTTAGATGATAAATAGCAAGTATTGTTAGACAACTATTTTTATTATAGTGAACAACAATTGTTGGACGGAAGGAGTAGATCGTAACTTATTTTTAAATTTTTTTTGGGCTATAAATAGGTGCTTAAAAGTACTTTATAACCTTTCCAAACATCTCCAAAATAAAAAAAAAATTATGCTTAAAATTAAATTATATTTCCTAACAAAACGACTTCCTAACAAATGACTTCCTTATACATGAAATTAAATTTATGTTTAAATATAAAAAGATTATATACTTTTTTTTTTATAAATATTACTCCCTTTGGATGAAGATATTTGACTGAACATTTTTGGACAAAATTATTAACTAATAATACATTTCACATCGTTTAATTTTTATTTTTTTTATCTGTTTCTTTTTCTTAAATATTAATGTCACATAAATTGAAACCGGATCGGATAACAAACAGTCATATAAACAGAGGGGCTTATCTTAGAATTGTCGTTTTCTTCAGATTCTCACATCCTAATACTATTGATTTATTGGTGTTCCGTACCCCGATATTCTCTGCCGGATTTCTCGCTCCACTGTGGATTCTGAGGCTATTGAGTATTGACCATCCCTCAAATCACGTTTCAATTCCATGGTAACTTCTATTTAACCTCTGCAACACTAGGATTTTAATTCCGTCTTGTTAGATAATAAAAGGTCATCTTTATATCTAAAAAATGTTTGTTTAGGTAAAAATGGTTGATTGTTGACACGACTAAACACACAACACAATACTTCAAAGTTAACGTGTTCTATTTGGGACCATTCATACAATGGACTTGTTAATATGTTTTTTCAATCATTCTTCCTCCACCTCAACCTACAGAAATTATTGTCCCTGTGTCCTTTATAAACGGTGTTTTTTTTCAATTTTGAAAATCGAATTATTAACTATTAAGTAATCCCTCTGTCCCTAATTACTTGTTCAATTTTGAATTGACACACTTATTAAGAAAACAATTAATGACATTGTGAGTTTACCATTTTACCCCTATTAATTATGAAGTGGATGAAAAGTTCTACATTTTTCAAAGTAATTAGTCATTTAATTGAGGGAATAATACGTAAAAAAAAAAATTGTCCTTTCTTGATTTGTCAAAATGGACAAGTAATTAGGGACAACTATAAAAAGAAAAGTGGACAAGTAATTAGGGACAGAGAAAGTATGTGTTAGCCTAAATCTTCTGTAGGGATTAAGTCATATTATATTCATAAATACGTACTATTTCTCCAATTGATTTTTTTAAGATATATATATATATATATATATATACACTCTTTCCTTTTCTTCTTCTTTTTTTTGTTCAAAAAGGTTAGTACTCACATCAGTGGTGTTTACATGAACTCTGATTCTACTAATTTGCGATGGTTAATTGATAAATGAAGGTATAAATATGTATTAATTAAAGTATAATTTACATAAATTTCAGTGTTAAGAGTTAATTACATTATTTTCCTACTCCTTTTCAAATAGGACATCCGGATACATTATTGGACTTCCGGATATATAGGTCAGAGATGTATCAAAGAGGGGAATAAAGATGTATAAGCGAGAGAAGAGTGATGTATCCGAGAGAAAAAAATTGATTTTTTTTAAAATGGTAAAGAATTTTTTGAAATTATGATAAAATAAGATGTGTGTTTAGATAATTTTTTGTATAATTAAATAATGAATTAAGTGAAGTAGATGTAATGTATGAACAAAGGCAGATAATAGAAATATTAGGGTAGGAGTGAAGATGGATGAAAGGACAAAGGGAAACAAGTGTGAGGAGGATAAGAGACAATAAGGTCAGTAATATAGTCAAAGCGGTCGGAGATTTGTTGGGGATTCTGAGAGGCATGCGCGCGGCGTCATCCCTCACCTGTTGCTATCGCCAAATATGCATGCATACCAATGAATCAATGCCCCTATATATATATATATATATATTTCAAAGCTATTTATATATTAAAGATAAATTAATAAAAATACATTTTAATTTCTACAAATGAGTAGTAATAATTTTCTTATGAGTGTGTGTCACCATGGCGGAGTCACCTTGTCCCCAGGGTGTCCAATTGAACACCTTTTCATCGAAAAATTATACAATATATACACATAAAATTTTGACTTTTATTGGTATATATGATATTTTGGACATGCTAAAATAACAAAGTACCCGTAGTGGAGATGGTTAGAGTTGTCACTAGCCCACTCTCTGCCCCAATTCGATTCCCTGCATGAGCGTTTTCATTATTTTGTAATTAATTTGCCTTTTTGAAGTTTGTAAGTAAATAAATATGCATAAGTTTAACATAAATATTCAGTAGCTTAGTGGTAAATAGTGTTATGTTTGCCTTTAGTGACCCAAGTTCGAATCTCACCTCCAATAAGGATATTTTTTCAATTAAAATTGAATTATTTCCTTATATTTTAATACCTTTTTCTTAAATTTTAACACATCCTTATTTTTTCAATTAAAATTGAATTATTTCCTTATATTTTAATACCTTTTTCTTAAATTTTAACACATTTTCCTTTTGGAATAAGTTTTTAATTGAAAAAAACTCCTTAAATTTTAATACCTTTTCCTTGTGGAATAAGATTTCCTTATATTTTAATACATTTTCCTTGTGGAATAAGATTTCCTTATATTTTAATACATTTTCCTTGTGGAATAAGATTTCCTTATATTTTAATACATTTTTCTTGTGGAATAAGATTTTCTTAAATTTTAATACATTTTTCTTTTGGAATAAGGTTTTCT